CTGAATTGAGCGATCAATTATTAGACCCGGACGTCCCAACACTTGCTTCGCAAGACAAACTCAAGGTATCCCCTAAAGGGCTACCTTTCGTGAACTGGTTCGGATAACAAACAAAAGGGCACAGTGTCAGAACTTCCATGTGGCAAACTGTCTTGAAAGCAGCTCCAGCATTTCACATTCACACCACACAAACCGTGCGTACGTATGAATGGTAGCACTACAATCCTCCTCTAACGCATTCCACAACCTCGTTGGTGCCCAGTGTAACACAAGTCCCGCGGTCGGCGTTGCTCTGGTGCCAACACAGGAACATGCAACTTCAAAGTATGTCTCAGTCGGAACACTGTATGCTTTAGAAACACTGAAACAAAAGCCGAAAGGCGGCACAGCCTGACAACATCTTCCTATTTGCAGGCTGAGCAATTTTTCTACAGTTCGTGTGTTTTTTTATTCTTTCTTTCGTTCTTTTTTCTTTCTTTTTCTTTCTTTCTTTCTGTCTCTCTCTCTCTCCCTCTCTCTCTCTCTCTCTTTTACGATCATTTCCCATGCGCTCTGCGCGAATTCCACACGGAGCCCAACATCTTCAATCCTCGGCGTGCCACAAAAGGCCGGCGGCATAAGCGGCTGCAAAGTTCTTGTCCATCATGGATTCCAAGGTGCAGGCTCATTGGAGGAGGCGGCGGCCACACTCACATCACTAGCATAAGGCATCCGTCTGCAAACACAGTTGGTTTGCAAGTTTTACCTTTACGCATGCGTTAATGGAAGCCGACGCTAGCAGCCGACAAGAAGTTAGGTCAAAGCAAAGGTTGGCCGAAATCATGGGCTCAAAAGCCAGAGTGTGGGACTGCCAACGCACTCCAGTCGCTCCTGCAACTTTAAAGCTAGGCTGGAGAGCTCGAAAACATTGCTCTCTCTCTCTCTCTCTTTCTCCCCTTACATAGGACATAGATTATATTACAAAATGTCTGTTCTAGGATCAAAGGGGTGTGCCGTCTCCAATTTGCCAATGGCCTGACTTACCACCAAGTCCGCCCGCACAGAAGGTGCCGAGGCGTTGTGGAGGGTCGTGCAAGCCGTAAGAATTTTCTGGAGGATTAATCCCAAGCGTTAGCTTGGGGGGGTCTCATCAGAGTTACGAAATGCTGTGTTTTGCAGTGTTTTTGAAGATATATCAAAATTCAACTGGTATCGGGCCAAACGTTTGCGGTTCTGGTTACGCATAATGGTAAAAACTGAATTATCAACATCACAAATGTATGTTTCTTCGGGTAGGCTGCCCGACAGAAGCTTCTTCTTGAGGAAAGAGGTGATTGATATCGTGTGTGTGGTCTTGGTGGAGAGGTCTTGTGGGGGGGAAACAATCGGTAGCGCCAGCCACTTGAGAGCACAGATTGCTCCTCCCCGGCTACCTGCGGAAACTGCAAGAACCCTTGTGAACAGGCTCGTGTTTAGATGGGGCTCCAGCGACACAGTTTTCCCTTTACTCTGTGGCTCCCAGCAGTAGAACTGCACCTTCGCCTGTGACCTAGCCAAATTTAAGCGATCGAAGAGCCATCCAGGTTGCTCAACCATCATTCGACGACTGTCTTCCCCCTGTCCAGCCTGGCTCAGAAAATATCGAAAGGCCCCCCCCGAGCCCCAAAGCAAACAAGTGTGAAGATCTCGGGATGAAACTGCTTCGATCAACCTGGAAAAAATGAATTTGTTGACTGTCGCCCGCAAACTCACCTGGAAGAGGCAAAGGTTACTGCCAGGTCTGCGCAACAGCCTTAGGTCGTCAGTCGGAGCGCGTCCTCCCAAAATGCAGCTGCACCCACATTTCACCGCTTCGAGCGTCTCATCTAGCACTACTCCAACCATCTTTAACCCATCTTCCGTTCCCCATAGCTGGTGACAGAACTAGGAGCGATTGGACGCTACTAGGGGCTCCTGGCCTTACTACTAGGAACAAGGACGCTACTAGGAGCAAAGGGCATCGCTACTTGGAGCAAGGACGCTACTAAGGGCTCCTTTCTTACCGGGTTCCAATTTTGTCGCTGCAGTTCTTGCCCCATCTACCGGCCTATCGGTCTTCCACACTCTGGACACCTCAAGCCTCAAGCTGTCGCTGTTTGTGCCTACAGAGACCGAGAGAGACAGGAAGACCCGTAGCCAAACAAGCATGACACGAAGAACCAGCCCAGACCAGTGGCCGACGGAAGCGGCGCCCTGGGGCGGCATTCAAGGTCAAGGGCCTTGGCAATGCCATGAGAGGGGTCTTCGCCGGTCTTCCCCAGTCCTAGTCTTGGTAATTTCCGATTAATCTTTGTCTGGGTGAGCAATTATGAGTGTGAAGGATCCCACGCAGCAGTGAGCCATGCATGTCATGTCTTGAACAAGGTCTTGCACTGGCAGCCAAGTACTTTGACTCTAAGTGCTGCTCGCAGTATGAAATCCAGTCCTTGCAGGCTGCGAAGAATGCAGAAAAGGATTGCCCTAAGCGGCATGTGATGCCATCCCTATGGTCCAATCATGACAAGCTACAGCAAACCACCAGCGAGGCTAACCCCAATGGTGAAGAAAGGTATCAACGGTGTCAGGTGTCTCCCTGTTTCTCGACCCCTGGTCCCTTGGTCCCCGTGCTCAACCACTCCAACCAAAAATTACTGTCACCAACTCAAACCCTGTTGTTGCCAATTCAGCAGGTCTGGGGACCAGTAATTGCATGTTTTTTGTTAAGAGGGTGGTAGGCCGCTAGGTACCTAAGAAGTATATAGCTATAAGTAAGCAAAGGAGGTAAGGGAAGCTACTGGCAATAAGTAGCTACTAGCTAGGACGCAAGAACGCGCTCGCATTATTCATGTGGAATGAATCTTGTAAGGGTTAAGTACTCTTAGGTTGGAGGCCATTGCTATTAGGGTGGAGGCCATCGCTGTTAGAAACAAAGACAAAGAAAAGGAAGAAAGCTCTAATAATTTAAAATATTTTAATATAGTTTGCTATTATAGAATGGAAGCCATTCCTAGTAGGTTGGAGGCCATCGCTACTAAATACCGGACTGTTGTTTTTCGATACTAAGTGCCTAAATGCAAAGTTGCCAGCCATGGGGTGCAAATTTCTGATGCAGGATTTTGGCCATTCACTTTCATCCTGTGTGAGATTGGCTTTTTAATGGCAAGGCTCTCGGGGTCTTCCTCTGGAGCAGGATTTTATCCAGCAACCTAGCGTTGGAGATGTATTATCACGTTCTCCACAGCACTTTTCTCCGCTGAGTGTATTTCAGCCGGGTGGCAATGCGCTGGCTGCCAGCTGGGGGTGCCGGTCGGACTCCACTGCTCGAACTCCTCCAAACATACCGGAGCAAACAAAGCCCCATCTTCCCACAATTCTCCGGTGATACTGCCCAAATGAATGGTATTACAGGTACAGCACTGAGGGCTTGGTCATGAGTCAAGAGTTAAGCCAGAAATGCAACATGTATATAACATGGGCAATGTTGGGCGTGTGCTCTCAGAATCGATAAGCATGGAAGCATGGAAGTTGCACCAAAACTTGCAAGGTAGTGACAGAAATGGTTCCAGCACCTGCTGACGGTGCTTGTAGCTTTTCTCCCCGAAAACTTGCTGATCACTGATCAAGCATACATTCTCAAGCATTTAAAGTGAACATGGTTTGTTGATCTTCCCCGGACAAACCCTTCTCTGAATTTGATGTGTTTTATGCAGCATTCTTCCAAAAGCACCATAACAAATACATAGAGTACACTTACAGCAATTGTCCATGTTCATCCCAAGCTCCTAGGGGCTGAGATGAAAAGAGCCGCATCTTGAAGGGAGCGCTGCCACGGACCTGGCAGCCACCGGCCACGAGACTCCACAGCAGACCCTAGGCGTTATAGTGATTCCGTCGTTTTATCTCGTTTCTCGGCACAACTTGTTCTGTCAATGCGAAAACATGCTGAGTGGATTCCCAGTGCAACACAACGAACAACACCTCGCCATGCCGATCTCGGTGATGTTGGGAACTCTAGCATTCTAGCATGAAGATGCTGGAAGGTTCGATCGATTTAGAAAGAAGTATCAACACACACACACCAAGGATTGCCACCATGTGTCCAGCATGAACCAGCATAATCCTGCGCCTCTGTCAACCTCTATATACCCCCTCTTTGGCACCGAGACTCGTTCAGCCGTGCCTCTCCACCATGAGCTACAGGACCCGCACCCAAGGAGAAGGCCACCAACCTCAAGTCACGAGGAAATCCTCAAGTCCCTACATCCCCTTGAAGCGCTCAGCAGAGCCTTTCCCCATCTTTTCAGAACCAAAACTAGGTCCTTATGATTTTGTACACTTTCGTCTGGCATCAAGATCTAGCTTCCTGTTTGGTGCCAAAAGCCCTTCTTTCATCTTGCTTCCATTGAAATCCAAAGACCCAATCCTTATCCATGCAATATCAATCAGAATCCTGTGGGACCTTCATCCCGAGCGGCAAATATCGCTTGCTGGGGTCCTCCAGCTTGGCCTGGCGAGCATGACAGAGTGACGGGAGAACTCTGTCATGCTCAGTCGAGTCTTGCATGGCTTGATGGGCTTATACATATGGGCTCTCTATCCGCAGTCTCTCCAATGCTACAGGTCATGCCAGGGGTCGACAAGACCAGAACTAAAAAACCAAACGATCAAACTCCAGCTATCAATGCTACCAGGACAATTGATCTGGAAGCTCTCAGCTCCATGGTCCGACATTCCTCAGATTTCGGGTGGCCTCAATGCAGCGCCGGGCCATGATGTCTGCGCAGAAGAAATTGCCACCAATGACCTTTCAGCGACTTCGCATCCAACGGTCGCGACGTGGAGCAGTGGAGCGGCTCTGCTGGGCGAGCGGTGGGGGCAGCGGTGACCGAAAAACGAATGCGAATGTGAAGTGATTGCGAATGCAGGTGCAACCCTGTCAAAGTTCCCTGCCGCATCCTTCCTCCAAAACTGCCAACACAATGGATCCCAACAACCAAAGCATGGTCTACTCAGCTGTTTATTATGGGTGTATTGGTAAACTCAGCGGTTGGATCACAATCATCCAAACTGCTCCTTGAGCCAACAACCACCAGTTACTGCTCCTCCAGATTGAATCTCTGCCTGCTCGAATTCGCCGGCCTGACCTCGGTGGGTGCAGATCTCGGTATCAAACAATGGATGGTCCTACCACTTGATTAAAGAACGATGGATGGTTTACAAATACATACAAATACAAATGAAAAGAAAATGACATGAAAAGACCACAGTCGATATGGTAAAAAACTACTTCGCTGGCGTCTCTTTGACCTTCAGTCAATATGGCGCAAGGCACTTCACCGTTGTGGTAAGTGCACCTCGCAGGAGCGTCAAGCGCCCACAAACCCAGTCAAGCATCAGGCATACAGCCCATTGGCAGCGCGAGTCTAATCGACAGTTTCACCGTGAGTATCGCCTCTTCTTATTATTTTGCCTTTGAGAAGAGGCAGCTGCCCACGTGAATTGTGCATGCCGGTCTTTACACAGCTTGGGTCAGGTTGCAAGCAGTGACGCCGGCTACAAAAGCTTGCTTGAATTCCACGGCTGTAGAATCAAATCTGCTGCCACAATTTGGCAGCCGTGTCAAAACCGAGGCATCTCGAATTCCGTCATTGGCTCACTGTGCAGCCTCTTCCTCACTCTCGTGGATCACAATGGCATCTTCAGCAGCAAAATCCTTCCCCGCAAAGCAATAGTCGAACATGCAGGTCTCCATGTTGGCCGGGCCTTAAGGTCTCAAGAAGGACGAGGAAATCAAAGGCACTCAAAGGCTCTTTCTTTATAGACCGACATGTCTGATCCTGAACACCTAGTAGTACCCACACTGAACAGAATCCTTCACCAAACTCTTCTCGTCTTGGCTTCTCGGCCTCTTAGGCGGACTTTTGGGTCCCCTTGGGACAAACCGGACCTTGCGATCCGATCCGGAGTCTAGGTTACCAAGCACGAACGAGTAACATGCTGACCCGAGCGCCATGGGATGCCCTGCTAGTTTGTGAAATCTTGTTTGACTTCTTCTCACATACAAGAAGCCACTAGTAACACGGGTACTACAGACTACTGGTAACAAGAAGCTACGTACTAGTAACCACATACTCGTCGAATGAGCATCACATCGGGATTTCAAGTCTGCCAATGAACAAAGACGGGGCACCATGCGGAGCCTGTCATGAACCGCACCTTGAATAGGACAATCCAATTTGCCTAACCCCAACCCCCTCAAATGCATCTCTTTCATCTCTTTCCCATTTGTATTTTATATATATATATATAACTTTGGAGTGCAACGTGTAGACGGAATTTCCTTTGCGCCGGAGGTTGTTCACCTTGTAGTGCTTAAGGATCGCTCTTTCCACTAGGGTGAACATGGGCGAAGGGATTGTTTGGATAGATCTTCTTTATCCATCTATGCAAAGCTTAAAGCTGCCGCTCTGGTGCCAAGGTCGCTTCCCTCAGCATGGATCATGGCTTCGCAGGCCTTCCTCGCCTTCTGCTGCACCTCCAGATTTAACGGAGAACTTGGAAGTTTGACTGTTTCAGCAACATATCTAGAATCATATTGCCTTTCGCCTCTCAAACAGAACAAAACTGGTTTCCCTTGTCAGTCAACTACTTGTTAGCTGGTGACAAATCATGTGTTGTTCAATGGCTGAGAAACCCAGAGTGCGTGCCTGCGGCTGGCAATCGGCTAGGGTCCTCTCAGCAAAAGCATGTGCCTGCATCTGGGCACCTCATCACGTTGAAGTTGTGGTGCAAAACAGTTGCAACACCATTTACTGAAAGCCTGCAGCTGCAATTGGTGAGAGTCATATTCAACACAGTAGCCTGCTGTCGCAAGAAGGCTGTAGCTACGACTTAGACTTAAACACCAGGGCACACTGCTCTTTTGGTAACCCTTTCCTTTTTGGTCGGACAAGTAGCTGGTTGCTAGTTAATTTCAAATGGACAACGCCAGCTTGGTCACCCCTTGGTAAGCCCAGGAATTGCATGGAATGACATCAACAAATTCAGGATGCTTCAGGCCAAGTTGCCATCTGGAAAAAGGCTCTCCGAGGGGGAGACTACAGTGCCCATCCGCTCCAAAATCTTCTCCTCAGTGCTCACACTTGCAGGGGTACACTCGCGCTGGCAAACACTTGCGAGGTGAGTCTTTACGTAGATCCAATCTAAACATTTCTGAATGATTTGCGTACTAACAATGTACTAACTAGTGGAAAGTCCTTCAGCACGAGGGATTCCTTTTTGTGGTCCCCAGGACTATCCTCATCAATGAGTTGTGGGCTGGTGGCAAGCTACAGCCGCAGAAGATGTCAAAGGTGCATGTTTCGACAAGGTCGATTGAACAAAAATGACAAAATAAGTGGCAACCTTTGAACAGGATTCGATATCCGATGAGATTGAACAACGCTTAAATGGACTGGAAGACACCCCAGAAACTTCAAAGCAAGAATATTTGGACAGGATATACTTTGCAGAATTATATATCTGGCGGGACAAAACTTGAATCTTTGGAATAACACCATCTTCTATTCTGTTCTACTCCATCGATCAAGATCCAACATCACAGAGCAAAAGGCTGCCTCCTAACGATGCCAATGATTGTTCAATGGGGAACCAACAAGCTGGGACCCCTTGGTCTTTAGCGGATTTTGGATTTGAGCTCTGTCTGTTGCTTGTGTCCGGCTATTTATAATTCTTCCTCTAACTACGACGAATACTAAGTCCAATGGTCCAATACCCATGCCGAGCTGATGGCGTACTGTACTTATCATCCCCTTTTCAAGCTTACCCGGACTGATTTGTTCGTTGGCATGATTACCTGGTCTGTCTTCCTGTCCAAATCCTCCCGAAGCTTCCCGTCCTTGGAATCATCCGAAGGATCGAAATTGAAGTTGCCACAATGGCCATCCTGCAGTGCAAAACACAACATATATATATATTATAACTTATCGGACTTATCGCTTCTCTATATACTTCCGGCGGCAATATAACAAAGAAACAAGTCAGAACACACACACACACGAACATGATGTAAACATACAGTCAAACCTCTCAAACATTCTCAAACACACTTCAAAGGGATCCTATGTGCTAAGCTACACAAGCTAATGTAGGCTACGTACCATCAAAATAGTATCCTCGCAACATGTGCCCGCAATTCTTTTCGGACAGTGGTCACCTATTCCGAGGCTGATGTTGATAGTTTCCATCCAACATAATGAAACCCGTGGCCTGTCCATTGAGTTGTTGAGGCATTGTGATGATGGCATCAATGTGCTCTGGCCAACGGTTGATAGTCAGTTGAACGTTGCCTTGCACCAAGCAGGTGATTGATTACACACTCGAATGCGGCTTGAATGAGATCCACTTTTCTTCAGTGATCTTTACTGGAGTTCGCAAACAGTGAGATTGTGCAGTCCGTAATGGTGCATCATGATTCATGGCTCCAGAAAGCGTCACAGTGTCGCAGAGTTTTCTCTACTGGAAAGCAGCGCTCTTGGTTTTTCTCTTAAACATTCTCTCTATTATCTCCAGAGTCATATTGCCCATCTCCAGAGTCTAGGCTTTTCCTAGACACGCTAAACTTCTCGCCAAGCTACGAACGAAGAAGGCCTTGACCAACTTCACAGGATTGCCCGAAAGGACATCATCAATGTGCTGCTCACCTGAGGCGTGGAGAAGGGTCGTCGAGTGGAAGTCTTTCGGGGAAGCAGGACCTAGTAAGGGGGTAGACAAGAAAGGAAAGGAACGAAAGGTTCAATGAAAGGAAACAACATGCAAAAGGACACAACAAGAACGACGACTCTCTGTAGAAGACGAGAGTTCTTGGAAATGACGTAGAAATTAAGGCATTTCTTGCTTGTCAAACGAGCCGAGATTGAATCTGGGTACGGAAGTCCATTTCTCATCATTTCTCCATCTGAAAACCAAGCAGCCCAACAAGCACTGCAGTTTTGCGCGGAAATAGGATAAAACAGGTTGTAGCTGCTACACAGTGTAGTAACTACTCAAGTAGCGAGTAGCAAAAATAGGTAGTCCGCGAACTTGAGCAAAGTGTGGAGGATTTCAATCCTACTTGTGAGCGCCACTCACAAAATCTCACAAACACATATTATGGCTCTTCACAACCTTGTGATTTGGCGCAAGTCACCATCCAAGTACTTGAGCCTGCAGAAAGGCTTGGCAAATTCAGAGGGGATCGATGGCAGGATGTGCTCATTGTCCCAGGTCATCTTGTCTTTCGTAGGCCGAACAATGAAGGTCGAGTTGTTGATGAAGGATCCGCTAATTGCGAGCTCAAGCAACGCTGACCTCTGTCTGGGGTTTGCGATTCGTGCATGGAGGCTTGAAACCTCGACTCAAAAATCTTTAAAAATTGCTGCTGATAGACAAAATCCGTTGCCATTGACACAAACTAGTTGCAGTAGGTTTCCTCACTGTCAATGCATTGTGTATTATCACCAGACTCAACGCCCAGTGGCTGACCCGCCACTGTGTAGATGGTGGTACCATATCGACCCTGAATTTGAATGTCCTCGCAGCTTCCATCTTTTGCTGGCAAGAAGTCAGGCACAGCATGTTTTCTTTGTCCACCAGAATCACCAGAACTGAACATTTCAACCTCAGGTCTGGCAGCAAACCAATGGCCCATGGCGCTTTAAAGGGCCATGTGAGATTACATCGTTTAAAGTCCTGGTTCTTCACTAGCCAATAGTCGCCGCTCGTCAAGATGGACACCGGTGGACCGGGCTCTGCACCAAAAAAGGCCACTGTCGAAGGGGCTGATGTGTGGATCGCCCCAAATGGTGCAAGAACCCTCAGCTGATATGATTCCTATATGCCCATCATGCATATTGGTTTTTCAAGTGTTCATCTTTCACCATCTCTTTTGAAAACAAATCCTTCACAACAAGCTGCTTTCACCGGGGTGATGCTGGTCTCCAGGCGGAACTCAGAGCCACAGCACCTTCGCTCAGCAAAGAAAAAGCTCAGCTCCACGGCGCTACCCTGCGGGGAACTCAGCCGATGGACAAATGGTGCAGAACGACAATAATTAGAGTTTTGGAAGCTACTAGGGAGCATTCTTACTACTAAGAACAAGAAGCAG